CAACAATTCCCCTATTACCTTATGTACGGATGGTGGTTCTGCTTCTCTGATCAAACCCTAACAGCCTGTATTCCAAATTAAGTAAAAATGAATTGAATAACACCAATCCTGCTACCCAGTTCCTCCATTGTATATTAGAATATATTAGGTTATTGAGATTTGTAGCTAACATTTATTGAAGACCTCCTAGGTGCAGGGCGCTTGTTAAGTAAGCTTTCTATAGCATCTCATTAAATTCTCAAAACAATCCCCTGAAGAAGATACTAGTATTATACCTTTTTTACAAATGTTTACAAATGTCACAGAGGCTTAGTAATTCAATCAAGTCAGACGTCACAGCCACAGTCTAATTATAAAACAGGAGTTCTCAACCACCTGTACTCCAAATTCATTAGAACTGAAAGAAATTGTGTCTTTTCCATGGACTCTTAAGGACCCTCACACTTCCTCCACATACATACACAAAATGCATGTTCATTACTTTAGGACTTTTCCCTTAATCTTCCCCTTTTCTCAAGAACTTTCCTAATGTCATAGCCAGTCTTGTGGTAAAACAGAAACAAAATTTCAAGTCAGACTGACCAGGGTTTGAATGTCAAATCTATCCATTACCTACTACCAAATTTTTTAGATTCCCTAAGCCTCGATCTCATTTATAAAATTTCTATGATATATGTGTAAAATAAGATTTAATATTGTCATTTATGTACAGTAAAAGAAATAAAAAATTCCTGAATCCCCTTGCTGGAGTATGGATTTTCAACTTTTAAAAACTATAACCCACAGTAAGAATATATTTTGCTTTGCAACTGAATTTACACATACACATACACACACAAAGAACTGAAACAAGTTTCATGAGTACTGATTGCCTTTACCACTTGTAGTACACAGTGATCTATTCTATTCTATTCTATTCTATTCTATTCTATTCTATTCTATTCTATTCTATTCTTTCCATTCCATTCCATTCCATTCTATCCTATCCTATCCTATCCTATTCCATTCCATTCCATTCCATTCCATTCCATTCCATTCCATTCCATTCCATTAGTTGCTGGTAATGACTCACTAAACTGATTTTGTGAAGCACAGATGGGTCAACATTGAAAAAATGCTGAGCCGTTTGGATTCTTTTATGTAAGGAGGCATATTTTGTTTATTTTTGTGTTAGTTTTGGCACAGAGTAGGCATTTGGTAAATATTTGCTGTAGAACTGGGTTTCCTTGAGGACAGGAGTCTTGTCTTAGTTACCTTGTATGTATCCCACATTTAGTATAATTCTTTCCACAATACTTAGAGAACAAATGACTATTTCCAGGCTTTAGAGATCAAACATTTGGATCAATCAATATGTGACAAGCACCTACTATGTGGCAATACTTAAATGCCAAATTCCTGGTTCCTTCTGTTAATTATCTTAAAAGCAGTGTGGGATTGCTGAGGGGGAACAATGAATACATGTTGCCCAACTGAGAAATTTAAAAAATGAGTAAGACATATGGAGGCCATAATATCACCTTTATTAATAATGAAGACTAAGTCAGAGAACACATAACAATGTGAGAGCCAGTCAGGCCTGTTAATTAACCCCTAATTTGAGGCATTGCTGAAGTGGGGTGGCCCTCCCTCATGCCCAAGCAGAATGTGGGAGGAAATGAGCTCAGCAAACCCAGTTTGTTTTTTCTAAATGTACTAATTAGATAAGTCACTCCTCCCCTGACCAGCGACAGAGGGAGTAAAAGCATAGAGAGACCAGACATATTATTACCAATTGAGCTTCCTCTTTTATGGAAGGAAATAGCAGAGGAGTAGATGTTCCCTTTAAAAAATCATATTTTGGAAACGACATATATAGGTGAAATGCTAAATAATATATATGTATATATAAATTACTACATAATATAAAACAACCCAAGGAATATCAAAGGTGGATACCTAATTATTTTTTATTTTATTTTATTTTTATTTTTATTTATTTATTTTTTTTTTACATTGCGTTGTAATTTATTGGCTTCTGGGTCTTTTATCTTACTCTGATAGGTAAAATAAGTTAAAAGTTCACTCTCATCTATTTTTTTAACACTTAGCTTAGTATAGTGCCTGGCATAGTGAAAGTAGTAACAAGTATTTGTTCAGTAAATGATTACATGTGTTGAAAATGCTGAGGTGATGTGCTGGGGTCCAACCCCAGAGGGTCCAGGGGTCCCCAAAGGTGTGGATGGAGTCGGCGAAGAAGGAATGACACGGAGACAGCGTTCAGTTGATCAGCAGCCTAGTCAGGACCTCTAGCCAGGATCTCCAGCCAAAGTTCTGGTCGGGATCTCCAGTGAAGTTCTGGTTAGGATCTGATCAGGATCTGACGTTTATTGTCTTGTTACATCTATATTTATACCAGCCGATTTTAATCCTGTCAATTTCTATTACAAAGGTTAGGGCGTTTCTTATCTCCATTCCAGGGAGTAAAGATTATGTAGCTTAACTACCCGCCTGGCACTTAATTAAGGGGTTGTATCCCCTCCCTAACCTCGGGGAAAAATCCCCACCTGGGGAAACAACCTTTCTCGGAGAGGTGACCTTGGTTAAAACACATGGCACTAAGGAGAGCAAACATATTAAGAACAATATGCTATATATGCCAGGTCCCTTGAAACATATGCTGTGCAGATGTTTCTTCCCTGCAGCGACTGTGTCAAGCAGCAAGGATGGACCGGCTTCCAGCAAATTCCCCCTTTTTT